AAGTACATGGTTATAGAGGGCGAGGGCACATAAATCCGCCGGGCTAATTTTGTACAAAGCGAATCCGCAATCGTTTCGGGTTTAATTTGTATTGACGCCCCGGGGACGATCGATATTTGTTTCGCCAATTTGCGAGGATTATCGAGCCTGTACCCTTTAATTGATGTGTCCATTTTTCAGTTCGGATAGTTTATACATAATTTATCAGGTTGGAATGGAAATTGTCCCCGTTTGAATCGGAAAAAGACAGAAGCTCTAGCTCTTTAAACTTTTGGTCTCCTGGTAAGTGAAAAATGTCGATTACTAAATTACAAATTGGAAAATGTATGAATTTTCATTGGTCTTTTTAACAATCCTCTATCAACATTAACAATTATATAAAAAAAATTCAAATTCCTTTAATATTGTAGGACTTTAATAGAAATTTTCACTCTCAAGTCAGTGATGAAGATTGATTCTATAACACCTTTGTCGTAAATTCGCCTTGAACTGACACAAAAATAACAAATGGGCGCAGTCGAGTTGAATATTATAAACATACCGTTACGGTTATTATAAATTATGATACGGTATTACCGTATCATAATTTATAATATTTTCTGATTATTTATTTCCTAAATTTAATCTAATTCAAATGATGGTAATCACTTATAATAATAATAATATTATCTCCCAAAGCTTTGTGGGAGAGTGATTATGCAAAGAGGCGAATTAAAATCGCATTAATCTTGAAGGAGAACTTGAAATATAGAATAAGAGGATCAGTTCTTTCAATTTTTATTCGATTAATGAATTGGATTTTTGGAAAAACCCCAGGTTTAATATCATACAAAAAATCCGAAACGGTACTGGCAATGATTTACCAATTAAAACAGGGATGCTATTAGCACTATGAAAATTGTACCAGAAAGTAGGGAATAATTGTACTAGATTGGCGACATTGTGTACTAGCTGAAAGCGCATCAAATTTGAAATTTGAATACAAATGTAAGCTCTGCTAAATGGGAGTAAATATCATTTATTTTAGGGTCGGTTTCTCATAGAGGTGGGCCAACCTGCGATTTTACTGGAGCTGTGACAAGACGTGACTGCTCCAGTCGTATCACGGTGATAAATAGCAGTGATTTTTTGGAACAGTTTCACCTTGATTGGCCATGCTGGTAATACATATAAATGCTACATTATATAATCGCAGTCCACCCAGTTTGCAGTCACAGCCGAGAGAGGTGTTCCAGTTTGCCCTCCTCTGCAGTAGCAGTTTCTGTTTGGCGTCACCGCGATGCGATTTACAATAATATGTCATTATTTGCATCACTTTGACTTGAGTTTAGTCCACGCTGCATCTGCATCTGCATCGGTGAAGCAGTGACAAAGTCACAGTTCGTGAAATCGCAACCCACCTCTAAAATTGAGTACTTAAAGTGCATCCTACTTTATCTTCTTCTTTGTTTCACTCATTTATAACCGCATTTGTTGTTTTTGCAAGTGTATCCTACCTTATCTACTTCTTTGTCTTACTATTTTTGCTGAAAATACAATCAAATTAATAAAAAATGAATTTTTTTTATTTGTTGGAAAATAAGGAAAAACATTCTATTTGAGATTGTAATTGTGGCAGCGTTGTTTTCGATCAAGTAGGCCTTGTCATTTGCCACTTTTGACAGCCGAGTGTTTTTATCCAGCTTTTCCTTGAATTTTCCGGTTTTTCAATCAAAAAAGCTTGTTTAAAGTACGAGGCTTTGAGTTTCCTTCATTTTTTGACAAAAATTTCCAGTTTTCCAACGAGGTTAGTGTCCAGAACCTTGGTTTGATCAAGTAGACTTTAGAATGTTGGTTTTCCATTGAATTTTCTACTTTTCCAAGGCTTCTTCAATCGGAAAAATACTGTTTTGGGTGCAGGGCTTTAAATTTGCTTCAATTTTTCACCATAAACTTCCATTTTTAGACTAAAATAGTATCCTACTTTATCTCTCTCTTTGTCATACTCATTACCAAAATATTAGTCGACCATTTTGAAGTGTCGTGTTTACATTTTTATCCAGGTTTTCCTCGACTTTTCCACTTCTTCAGGTTTTTTTCAGTCGAAAAAACTAGTTTAAAGTACGAGGCTTCGAGTTTTTTCTGCTAGAAATTTCCAGTTTTAAATCCATTTATTTACGGTCAAAAGGCAAGTGAAAAAAAATTATTGAAAAGCAAGTTTTTGAGGATTTATTTAAGGAATTTCTAATTTTAAAATCGTTATAAGGTAATTAATTATTTAACGGGTTTTTAATTATTAGATTACAAGTAGAATTCGATTTTAAATGTTTTTCTTGGAAGTTTTGTGACGTGGCAACATCGTTTGTAGCCAACTTCAAGTAGACCTTGTAATAAATGTCATTTGCCATTTTTGACAGTCAGCCATTTTCAATTGACGAGTTTACATTTTGGTCCAGTTTTTCCTCAAATTTTCCGCTTTTCCAGGCCGTTTTCAATCGGGAAAATCGTTTTAAAGTTCGAGGCTTTGAGTTTTCTCTATTTTCCACCAAAAAATTCCAATTTCCCAATGGAGTAAGTGACCAAAACTTTGATTTTTCAAGTAGGCTTTGGAATGTTGGTTTTCCATTGAATTTTCTACTTTTCCATTTTTCAATTAGAAAAAGATGATTTTAAAAACGGGGCTTTGAATTTGCTTCATTTTTCCACCAAAAACTTCAATTTTTAGATTTAATTTTTTCCTACTTTATCTCCCTCTTTGTCTTTCTTACTATTAAGCAGGCCTTGGAATATCATTTTTATTGAAATTTATTAAAAACAAGATTCCAATGCATTATTTTCGGAATTTATCATTTTATAAACATTATTACCTAATTAATTATTTAAACAAAAAACTTTAAAATGTAATTGAGATGTGGCAACGTCGCACAATGTCATTTCCCAGTTTTGACAGTCGGTCATTTTTGAATGTTTTTAATCAGTTTTTCCTCGAATTTTCCACTTTTTCAGGCCGTTTTCAATTGGAAAAACCGATTGAGAAGACGATGCTTTGAATTTCCTTCATTTTTTGCCAAAAATTTTCAGTTTTCCAATGGGGTAAGTGACAAAAACTCAAGTTTTATTAAGTAGACTCTGGATTGTAATTTTTACGGTATTTTCTTTGGATTTTTCGCTTTTCCAGTGCTTTTTCGATCGGAAAAACCGATTTTAAGTACGAGGCTTTGAGTTTTCTTCATTTTCATCCATAAATTTCTAGTTTCAAATACTAAAATTAGGGGTAAATAACGTTTTTCTGCCTCTTTTAAAAAAAGTGAGCACTTGAATTTCATCCTACTTTATCTCTTTCCTTGTCTTACTCAGAGGGTTTTAGAGCTACTTTGCACTTAAAAAACACTAAATTAAGCTGAAAAAACGAGGCTCTGAATCAAAAAAAGGGGGCTTTCAAAACAAAAAACAAACAAACGCCATTTTAAATTAATTGTCAAAAATTACAAGGCCTACTTTGACTTTGACATGTCAAATTTTTTGACGTTTGCGTCAGGGTTGCTGCAACTTTTGTGCCAGGGTTGCTACATTTTTTCGTCCCTGTAGGCCGATTTTTCAATATCGAGTCACCTCCGGGTTGGTTTTAACTAGAAGTGAGCCAACCTGCGATTTTACTGGAACTGTGACAAGACGTAACTGCTCTAGTCGTGTTACGGTAACAAATAACAGTGACTTGATTGGCCGTGCTGGTAATACATGGTACATTACATAATCGCAGTTCGCTCAGCTCACAGTCACGGCCGAGAAAAATGTTCCAGTCTGTCCTCTGCAGTGGCAGTTTCTGTTTTGCATCACCGCAATGTGATTTATAATAATATTTCATTATTTGCATCACTTTAAGTTGAGTTTAGTCCGCACTGTATCGGTTAGAGATCGAAGTGGCCGTGACAAAATGTCACTGCTACTTGAGTGGGACCGGAGCAGGCGAGTAGCAGTGACAAAGTCACAGTTCGTAAAATCGCAACTCACCTCTAGTTTCTCAACAGCGAGTCACCTGCGGGTTGGTTTTAACTCCAGGGTAAACGTGTCTAGTTGCAATGTTTACCTAGAGTTATCGTTAACCCTGGGGGTGACTCGCTATTTGGAAACCGGCTCTGAATGATGGAAATAAATAAATTTCTACATATTTAGTTATAAATCGACTACCGATTACCATGATCCGCTGAATAATCGAATAACCACCGATTCATGACACACGTCAAGTCACAGAATAAAAAACTCCCCAAATTCTGGGATACTCGAGGATCAAGAACACTAATTTGTTCTGTGAGAACAGACCGAAAATCACCTTTCCTACATTTAAAATCGACGAAAAAATTAACTCACTAGCATAGCCTGAATCGCAAGCATTCGATCAAGGTCTGCGGGTGACGTCATTGCTAATTTCTGCTGATAGTGATGTCTTTCGCAGGCCCAGAATTTGATGGAAAGGGAGTTAGGGAAGTATGACACAATTGACACATCACATAACCCAGCATAATCAGATTATGCTTGAATATTCTCGCCAAAAATTGCCTCATATTCGAAACGCCAGTTTCTTGTTTGGCTTTAGCCACACCGTAATGGGACCGGAACGTGAAACCCAACCCACAAGTAGAGAGTGGAGTGCGGTATAGAGCGAAGAGCGACACTCGACTTGTATTCTAAATTGTACTAGATTTATGAGAGAGGTACTAGCGTACTAGGTGAAACGTGATTGTGCTAGATCTAGTACAATTGTACTAGAAATAGCATCCCTGATTAAAATGAATTTAACATGAACGTTATATTCAAAATTAGCAAGATTAAATCACAATTCCCAAAGCGGCAAAGAAACAAAAAAAAAAGTTCCCCTTCATTTTTTCCACCCCAAATCCCAATTCCAAGCCCCTATTTCTGGACAAAAGCTTATAAGAATTAAGACAAATGGGAAAATTGTATTAAGTTTTTTTGCCTCGTTATATAAGAACCATAAATTTTGTCGCAAAAATAAAACTCACCATAAGGAAGATTTTCAAAGCTGCCGTCATCGTCGATGCAAGGTTTCAAGGACTCGGCACTTTTGTTTCTAAGCCCTTCGCTCCAACGTCTAAAAATCAAATAAAATAATTAGAACCGGAGCCTTTATATAAAATGGTAAACTGAGCACCGATACGTGTTCAAAAACCGCTCGAAAACGCCGGACCTTTTCTCACTTAAAACCAAATGCGATTTTTATGTAAATATAAAACACTAAAAAGAGAAACCGTAAACGAGACGAGTGATGAGGTTTTTGAGGGCAGCACGTGAAACTTTTCCACCTTCATATTATAGTTAAACTTTCGGTCGTGTTAACGACTTGCTTGATACATTACTTATTCATGGCTCAAGTTTTATAAAGAATTTTAATATGAAGCACATTAGAGAAGGATCTTAGGTAAAAATCATTTAAAGTACCTACCTCGAATCGCTTTGAAGCTCTAGTAACTGCGGCGTGGATGTAGCTTTAGGTCTTCTAGAAGATTCTAGAGGAGATCGAAGACGTCGACCTTCATGCAAAGGCTGAAATAAAAAATTAAATGCACATAATGTTTTTAGAACTAAAAATACATTTTGAGAGAAAAAATATAGTAACCTACAGTAGACGACATATTCAACTTAAGAAGTAATTGTAAAATCAGTCTAAATTGCTGTATGTGAAAACCGAAGAATAGAGGGAAAACTTTCCCCGAGATTTCCTCAGCCACGAAAATTTATATCTTCCCAAGTTGCCCTTGACGGTGAAAAGGGGTGCGTTTCTCGACTGGTCCATCTTGTCTGCCCGATTTAATTCGCCCTTTAAACAAGTTGCTTAATTTAATACGAGAGTCATACGAACTAGTGCGGTTTCGAAACTTTTCCACGTTCCAAGAAAAAGGCGTTGTTTTAGTTGCTGGCAAACTACCAAATTGATGGCCTCAGTGTGTCTATTCGCTGGGCTTACGTAATTTAAGTTATGTGCCCTATACACTGGGTTTTTGCAAACTAAATCTTTACGAGTCTCAGTAACTTTGAATTAAGTATACTGTTATGTAAGCGAGTTCGCAGATAAGTGAGATTCTTCTATAGAACTTGTTTATCTTTATTCAACACAATAACAACAAAATCATAACTCACTGTCTCACTATCAATTCGCGTTCCACTAATTTTTTGACTATTAACTCATTCCAGTTCAATTTATCACTGATTCTTCAAATTTCTGTTTTATAGCGCGTTGTTGCTTCTAGAATTCTCCAGATAATTCGCTTCCGTTTGTTTCGAATTGGCTAAACTATCGCACGATGAAATTCCTTTTAAGAATTCTCTAGACGTCAGGCAGTGTTGCAAGATTGTGAACGTCTGATTGGTTGAACTGGTTAAAATGCAGTTAAGTATAAAAAACACAGAATCGTTTTCCTGTGGGCTTTGGTTTCTAAAACGCTCTCTTCCCTCAACAGAATTCTGGCAGGCAAGTCCTTTTTATTTTTAATAATTTTTGCTCTTAATTTTTGGATTCTCCCTTATAGATTTTTCAATATATTTTGCTATCAATTCATATTATCATATCATTGTTAAGTTTTTACCTGATAAATCTTATCTATTCTTGAAATATAAATATTATATTTTAATTTTTTCATCTAATTGTTGGCTTCCATTTTGTGTGAGTGCTGATTAGTAGTGCCACGTTTATCTGAGGTAAGTCAATTCAGATTTTTGGACTTTAAATAGGTACTGCTGCTCTGGTTTTCAAAATCAATTATTAGTGTGGGAATATTGGACCATTTGCTCTAAATAGAGTCGGTGATAACCAAATTTGTGTGTCCATCCCTATCAACTCTTTATTGAATCCAGGCAGAGGCCTGAATAGCCATTTTCTGTTTGACTCCGTCAATTATTATCTCGACTAAAGGGTGTAATATTTTTTAATAGAAATCCAGACAGGTCGAAAATTCAGTTAAAACGTTTTGATTAAAACATCTCAAGAATTTTGACATATTCTGAATTTGATTAATTTCAACCCCCTGGTTTATCTTGTAGTATTTATAGTAGCAACCTGCTACCTTAATTTGAAAGGAAAATTTTGTCTATTTAGGGGAGAATCCAAAGATTTAATTTCTTATTGTTTTACTTTATTTTTGTTCATATTTTTGCCTGCCAGAGCTGCTGTCAGGAAAGCAGCATTTTGCTCAATCATAACGAGCATTTTAATTTAATCTTGTTATCATTTTATTTTTATTATTATCTTACCATTATTCCTAATTATTTAATTGTATTTTTCTTATATATATATATTTTTTTTTTAACTTGCAATAGCTGTTCATACCTGATTCTGTTGGAAGGGAGGGTCTGTACAACAATCGTTTTATATTAAATTTCAATTTCTATTTCCTTTGCAAGACACTCACTTTTTGACAGAATTCAGGAATTTAATATTCCAAATATTGGTGAACCTGATACTGCCTTATTCTTTTCTGGGTACCTAATCGACATGAAGATCACTGTTTGGAGTCTAGATCAGCTGGAGTGACGTCACCCCAGCAATCTATCCTTTTCCTGGATACAGGAAACAACACGAAGAGCTCCAGTTCACGAAAGTGAGACCCTAACACCCATTGGAAAGGTACATGGTATCAGATTCACCGGAAAAACCAAGCTGTCAACTGTCATGTTTTAAAAAAGTGGCATTGTCACTATATTATTAAACACAACTTCTTAAATATCAAATAAAATTATTGTTTGTCGGATTTTGAGTGGTTTCATTTGCACATAAAGGGACTACACGTTATCTTAATATTTTGAGTTCCACGACCCTAGGTTATCTTGTCTTAAAGTAACAAATTTCAATTTATTTGTAACAAACGGGAATCCCAATGAACTCTCCGGGTTTATTAACGCTACGACGTTGCTACTAAATTATTACTGGAACAACACTGAGGCACACAGTTGGACCTTGATCAGAATCATATCTACACCACGGATCTAATTTCTCAAGAATCTCCGTATGGCAAGATTCCTGAAATCAGAACTAATCACCTAAATTCAGAGGAAGAAAAAGCAATAGAAAATTTATGTAGGAAGTATGCAAACATTTTCCATTATCCAGACATGTGCCTGACCTTCGACAAACCAGATCAAACACCATATTAAAACATAAGATGTGATTCCAGTGTACACTAAATCATATAGATATCCACATATCCATAAAGAGGAAGTGAAAAACCAGATATCTTTTATGTTGGATCAAGGAATTATCAGACCAAGCTCCAAAAAAACCAGACGCCTCCGGAAAAATAAAATGGCGGATAGTAGTCGACTATAGGAAAGTAAACGAGAAAACTATCGACGATAAATACCCAATTCCAAACTTAAATAGGACATCTTGGACAAACTTGGAAGATGCCATTACTTCAGGACCTTCGATCTGACAAGTGGCTTCCACCAAATCGAAATGACTAAAGCCTAGTTCTCATAGAGCGGAAAATCGCGTCGCGGACGCGGAATTTTCAAAATTTTTCCCGCCGCGGGAAAATGTCAACTTCTCTGTTCAGTTCTCAACCTAACCTAATAATGAATGTCATTGAGGTAGGTAATTTGAAATTTCAGAGTTTGTAGTTTGTAATTTGTCAATAATTTTAGATATTTTTAATTTGTGGCAAGGGTGATTGTAATCATTTGGATGGAAAAGAGAATGACTTTTTTTTTTGTCGTTGGAGACTGTGGAAACGGAAACTGATGAGCAGTAAGCATATTTAGCTATAGACTGCAATATTGGATATTTTATTAAATTCCATTTATTTTGTCATTTTCTTTACAAAAGAATTGATGATCAGTCGCAATCAGAGCCTTCTTTCAATGATTGTACATTCGAGGAACTTTTAATAGCAAATGTAGAGGCAAGACCTGTTCTCTAGAACTCAAAACTAAAAATATCACAAAGGAGTAACTCAGAAAAAGACAAACTATGGCTGCAGATAGCCGAGTTCTTTGCCAGTAGTAAGTCTGAAAAACCTTAAATATAACTAAAAATCCGCTTCCGGAATCTCGCATTATGTGAACCTGCAAAAATTACTTCTTGAGCGGAAAGCGATATTTCGCACCCGTAACGCGTTTTTCTGCTTCATGAGAACTAGGCTTAAGGAAGATATATGCAAAACTGCTTTCAATGTCGAAAATGGCCATCACGAGTATGTCCGGATGCCGTTTGGACTAAAAAACGCTCCAGCTACGTTCCAACTTTCTCCTAGAAGACGTCAATAGCAAAAAAAGACAAGGTGAAATAATCCAGGCCTACCATCAAGGAAAAACAAATCATTGAGGAATTAAGGAAACCGAAGCGCAAATCCGAAAGAAATATTACTGGCCTAACCTCAAACAAGATATTGAAAATATCATATGTTTGCGACACCTGTCAGTCAAACAAATACGATAGGAATCCAGCCAAACCTACATTCATGCTTACTCCAACACCGACTAGACCTTTTGAAATTATTCATCTAGATATCTTTCAAGTCGGAGGGCAAAAGTATTTAACAATAATTATTGATTCCTTCTCAAAATATAGACAAGCTTAGCTCATAGAGGGATCAAATTCCGTGAATATTCTTAATGCCCTCCTAATCTTCATAATTCATCATCGAATACCACACATAATAGTCACCGATAGTAGAATTTAAGAATAGATTATACAGGAATTTGTAGATACACATAAGATATCTGTCCATTATACTACCCCTGATAACCCACAATCCAACGGTATGATAGAAAGATTCCAGTCCACCATTATCGAACACCTGAGGATACTTCGAAAAAATAAAAAATCCTTAAGCGTTAAAGAACAAATGCCATATGCACTTCTCGGATACAATAGTTCTATCCATTCAATGACTGGTCACCTAGATCCGCAGGATCTGTTTGACGCTGACGCCAGGAAAACATTTATAAATAATTATACGCAACACAGGGAAAAAACGAACACTATCTACAAGAAATTGAATCAAAAGCTACATGAATACAAAGAAAAGTACATAGGAAAAAGAAACATAACCAGACAAACCCCCCTCACCTACAAACCTAGCACGAAAATCTACAACAGGAAAACTGTAAAGTAAAACAAACTACTTCCAAGATTCTCTCCCAAGACAGTTAACATTGACAATATTGTGACCATTAACAGTCAAGACGTGACAATACATAAAAAGACTATTAAAAATCTTTCAGTAAATAACTCTAGAAAGTCCTTACAGATGTTCCTCAGTCGTCTCTCAGAACCTTCTGATCCAGGACCTGAAGGACAACCCGACGAGGAAGGATTCAAAGTATAATACCCACGACTTCATTCACTTTTTTGACCTCTTCCCAGTAATTAAAGAACTTCAGTCTCTGGAAGAACAATACGAATCAGTAAGAACAGCAATGGAAAATGGACTGAGTCACCCATACTTCAAAAGCCTGCAAAATTTCGATCAAAGCTTACGGTTTCTGTTGAAAGCCGTCAAACAAAAACTTCGTACCATCATACCTATCTCAAGATACAGAAGAGGAATTTTCAATGGTGTCGCGACAGTGTTATCAAAACCATATCTGGAAACCGGGACCACGAAGACGCCCAAAGGTACAACACTGCAATCGCAACATTGCAAAATAGCCAAGAGAATATCGTCTCCCAAGTGAATCAGCGGATAAGTCTTGATACCAAAATTATGGAAAACTTCAACCGCACGATCTCTCTTATAACTCACAATGAAGAAACTATAGAAAAAAAAGCGAACAAAATTAACTCCAAACTAAGTAAATTCATGTTCGACTTTACCCATTTTCTACAAGCTAGAAACGTCTTAGATCAGCAAAACTTAGCTCTCAAAGTCATCTTGCAAATCCTCAACGACCTCGAGGTAGCTATAACATTTGCAAAAACAAGCACTCTTTATAACTCTCTTATCAAACCTGACGAACAGAAATGAGCCGTTAAGAAGATGCTCGTATACTACTTCGAAATTCAGTTTCCTTATATCTGCGAAGAAGATATACCTAAGGACTATGATATAGCATTGACGGATACTTCTCAAACCACACCATGGTCTTCATCCTGCATTTTCCAATTTTGTCACCAGAAATTTTCACATGTTTCCATTTTTTCTCAATACCCACTACAAATCATTCCACCATAATTCCTCCTGCTCCCTATTTGCCCCTGAGAGAAAATTTATTCCAATACACGGAAGTTCCATGCCGTAAAATTGATGAATAAGCTCTAGAATGCTCCAATGCAAAACAACATTTAGTTCATATTGTCAACTAGCTGCTTGGGAAAGGAGGACCCGGTATTCAACCTTATTAATTTAATTGCCGATTCGATCGAATATTTATTGCAATTCAGCAATAAATTAATATAAATTGCGCTGCAAGCCGCAGCAAAGGTAGACTTAAACCAGTGCAAGTACCTCTCGTTGGAAAAGCCCCTCTGGAATTAAGTCTTCCCAGTGCAAGTACCTCTCGTTGGGAACGCCCCTCTGGGTATCTTCAGCCTTATCGTTGTCCAGTGCAATTACCTCTCGTTGGGAACGCCCCTCTGGACAAGGCATAAGGGTGACGATAAACTTATCTACAGTCCCCCAAGCAGCATTGACGTGTGGCTCCCTATAAGGACCCCAGTGTTCGAAGGGTCATGTATCTTACAGGATTAGCGTACATGTAAGGTTATATTTGGTAAAATATATATCCTATATTTTTATATAACCTGAGCGAGTTTCTCTCCATCTACCCCCAAAGCTACAAACCCCCCATGTCACCCCTGTAAAGCGGGTAGTTGTGACAATATTTACAATACAATTTTGAAATATACGAAAGAACACACACACATGGCTCCAGGACTAAAAATGAGTGCTTAATTATTGATCTGAAAACAAGAAATCTACTTACAAATAAATATATCACCATATTCCGCTGATGGATAATGCCCGATCTTTTATCCCAAACCTAATCCGTCAGGCCGAATTGAATTGCCGAATATTTTAGGGCACCTATTCGAATTCGGGAATAAAAAGGGTAAGTTTAAGCCGAGGCCTTTTGACTGACGGTTCAAAAATAACGATGAAAAAGAGGGATTAAGCCCTCGACGGACGTAGGTATAACAAAAATCTGAATAAATTTAATATGAGAAATATTAGTTAAAAAAAAAAAATTATGATGAAAAAGGAGAAAATTTCATATTGCATGAAGCTTTGGTTTTTTCAAAACACTAAAGCAGTTTCAGATTTTTATTAGCTGGCTGGAAAATTCATTTTAAGTGCCCACTTTTATCGCGTCCTTAACTCGAACCCATTATTATCGTCTCTTTTTTACTCGTTTAGTTTTTTTTATTGTTTTTATTTTACGAACTTAGGCCTGCCAGACGATTAATTGAATGTATATTGTTCCAAAAATAACACAAAATCACTATGTTTTTTCTTTGTATCAATCGCGGTTCGATCCGAAGAAATATCGCCCGAGCACTGATTTTGCCCGTTCGAAGAAGCGGAACAACATTTTCTCGTGTTCGTATTTAGGCGACGTACGTGCCAAAAATCCTTAACACGCCAAGACATAGTTTTCAAATGGTAAATACACCATAAACAAATGTCGGTTTAATTTGCATGTAGAAACTGTATAATGGAAATTCCTGCGTTATGTATAAATTTATCTAGTGTTTTTTGTTTGTTTCGATGTTTATAAACTTCAAAATACTGGAAGTTTATATCACAAATTGTCGAATATATATTATACAATGTTACGTACACTCTAGGTTCTCTAGGTTCACACCAAGCTAAAGAACCTCTGAAAAAAGTTAGCTTTGGCGAGGTAATTAGTATCCTACAAGTTGTATGCAGACCGGACCAACTTATTAGACTTGACACATTGGGCGTAATAAGGCGAATTAGCTTGTACCCGGTCTCATCGATTCGGCGGTGCTGCCGAAGATATACGAATTTTAATAATTATGCAGTTCGACATGCAGTGACATGGATAATATGGGTATCAGTCAACTAGTCCCATTAAAGCCTATGTGTCTAGTAGCCCGGTTTTGTCTGTATACAAAATATATTTAAAAAAAACACCGGCATTTATTTTTATTTTATACAGGAAAATTTTGCCAGTTATAAACTTTCCAAAATATTTTCCAAGTATGCCACAGTTATAGTTAGTTCCTGCCGTTAAAAAATGTGCGGCTTGCTTTAATTTAAATCCCAGCTGGTCTTCTCCAGCATATTACACAGAGAGATGGAAATTTAATTAAAATTTTAACCCCGATGGTTTGAAATCGGGCGCGTGTGTAATCGCGCCGGATTTTAAACATTTTCAAAACCAAATTACGTATAAATCGATGAATAACTTACAGTCACCGGAGCGGTATGGGCCACTTCAGGTGTTGGAATTTTCCGTATTATTCCCGGAGAAGAGCGGACACTGTCGGTTCCTTGTTTCTTTCGAGGAACTTGATTACTGAAACAAACAAAAAAACTTGAGTGTGGAGCAAAATGTTTTTTTCTATGAGTATTGAATAATATGCGTAATATACATCCATTTTTTATTGATCAATGTGAATGATTACTCATACAGTGAGTTTTTTTTTTCATTACTCAATTGTTTTCAACCAATGAAAATAACCTGGTCTCATTATTCCACTATTTAAGAGCCAATCAGAAAATTCGACAAGTTGACACCATATTCCAACCTTCCAAACGGTCATCTTGACAGCTGATTCAAACAAGACTTGTGCTAACCTAACCTCACTTTGTCCTCCAGTTGTCAGAATTGTCAATTAATTTTGTTATGAGAATTAAATAAAGAACCGCATAACTCGTACCTATTATCTATTAATCATAAAAAAAAATATACTCGTGGGTAGGTAATGGCTATTACTCACTCGGATGATTACACTACTCGCCTGCGGCTCGTAGTGCAAAATTCATCCTTCGTGAGTAATAGCCATAATTACCCGCTCGTTGAATAACATACTATTCTTTTTTGAAAAAAAGATCTTTCGAAATAATACGTTCAAGTGCATTTGTGTTCCGGGAAACTTTTCAGCGATCTGATAAAGCAAGAAGTTATTTTTTTAAACTTCTAATTTCATCATACTACAATCTTAAAGCTGAAAATTTTCTTATAATCAAACTAGTTTCCTTGCAAGTAACCCTATTGGAAGATATACTTTTCTCCTGTCTGAACAGATACTTTCGAAAACCTCTTTATGTGTTAAAAAATGTTGAAATTTCCTATTAAAAAAACTTTTAATGGTATAAAATTTGTATTTTTCCTGGTAACTGTAAGCAGTGGCGGCTCGTGACTATTTCAAGTGAGGAGGCTAGAAAATAATGAATTACGGTAAGGTAACCACTACGCAGCAGGCAAAATTTGTTTTGGGGTGCCCATTGCCCACGCCCCCAAGATGCGCCGTAGCGAGGAGAGTCAAATTAACTTTTCGTCGTATTTTTTGCTTCTCTTTCCAATGTTTTTTTTTATTGTTTTTCGAAATTCAAAATTTGAATTTTTGCGAAAAAAAAAATCTATAGGGATATAACCCTTCGATTTATTTGTTATAATTTTCAAAGCGACCTAACTCGAAAACAAAAAGCTCGGGAGAAAAACTTCAAGTGCAAAACTTGTAGATCTCATCGAGTACTACAAAAAAGCCTATAAGAAGTATCCCGCCACGGGGCACCGTTTTCGAAATACTCGACCTCAAAAGTTTTAATAAAATTACAAAGAATTTCAACTTTGACAGCGGATATCTCAAAGACGAAAACGGCCTGGAATCATGTTAAAAAAATATATAGGTTTCATTTCATTCTCTTCCAAAAGAGATATGACTCGAAACGATCGGTTGAGAAATAGCGGAGCTATAAGCGAAAAAATAACTTCGTGTCAGATCGCCGAAATTTTTATCTGGCCAAAATCGAAATATCCTTTTTTAATTTTCATTTTCCCGGCCTTAAAATGCGTCATCGCAAACAGGGTCCCATAAGCTTTTCAACGTTTTTTTTGCTCCTCTATCCAATGGTTTTTTTTTTTGAAAATTCGGAAAAAAAATTTCAAAATCAAGAAAGATGGGGAGGCAAACTTTTTTCCGGTACATCGGGGAGAACTGAAACTCGGAATATCGACTAAAAATCCCATTTTGAATATTCCCGATTTTTGAATGGCTCCAAATTATCCGCTGACGAATAGAAATATAGACTGGGCCTCGTGATTAAAATAACTCTAACCCTCCGGGCTCGCGTATAACTAGGGCCCTTCGAGCTCGTATTACTTCAGCCCTTCGGGCTGGTATTACTCCAGCCCTTTGGGCTCGTATTACTCTGGCCCTTCGGGCTCGTGTATAACTCCGGCCCTTCGGGCTCGTATTACTAAGTATCCCAGATTCACAAATTTTTGTCGTCGAGGTGCGGGATTAGTTGAAATAATGTTGTCAGATTTTTCTAAATTACATTGAAATATTGAAATTTGGAAAGTGTAATTTGTGAATTATTATTTTAATTAGGAATCAGGAATTAAAAAGTGAGATTGAATTTTCAATTTTTTGGGGGAGGCTTAGCCTTTCCTGCCTCCTCTGACGAGCCGTCACTGGTGGCATCTTCCTAGCCATAAGACTACCTTTGGCTAAAAGTGAAGAAACTGAAAAGATAATCCAGGATATGGAGAAAGAAGAAGTTATCGAACCCTCTACCAGTCCCTCGATTTAAGACTTGAAAAGTGGCTATTGGCAAGTGCATTCACTGTCGGAACTGGATTATGGCAGTTTACCGTCATACCATTTGGATTGTGTTATGCTCCCGCTACCTTCTAAAGGCCCATGAAAACTGGAATAAAAAACTGAGATTGAATTTTTAATTTTTTGGTGGAGGCTTAGCCTCCCCTGGCTCCTCTGATGAGCCGCCACTGACTGTAAGATGGATAGATAAAAGGTTATATTCAGCAAAATAATGCTACTAGGTACGGTTTTAGGGCACTTATGGCCCTTATGAGTTGAAAATATGGAAAAATTGGGTCTATGTCAATTCGTCGTAAGTCAATTCGTCGTATGTCAATTCGACGTAAAGCCAATTCACCGTAAAATCAATTCGTCGTATACGTCAAATCGTCGTAAAGTCAATTCGTCGTACAAGTCAATTCGTCGTAGAGTAAATTCGTCGTAGAGTAAGTTCGTCGTAGAGTATATTCGTCGTGGCGTTAATTCGGCGTATAAGTACGTCTTTTCTGTTGAATCAGACATTATTAAACTTACCAATGATAACCCGGTTAGTTTGGCTTATTATCGGTAAGTTTGATAATTTCTGATTGAAATTGCATGCAAACTATTTACACGGTGGCTACCGTATGAGTCACCAGTGATGCATAGGATTCAGTTGCCGACAGGGATGTTTGACCTAATTTCGGTGATTGATACTTTCTCTGCCTGCTAGGGTGGAAGGAAATAGTAAGCTTCCCCTGAAACAAAATTTAAGCTAGACCGAAACTTAAACATCTCGTCTCAAGCTCCTAGTGTTCCTAGTACTCCATCTCCTGAGACCCTAGAGCATTCTTATGATCGTTCTTTGAGTGCAGAAAAATTGAATGTAGATAATAATAATGTGAATGTCAGTGCTACCAGATCTAGTCGTCTAATAAGAAAACCCAGTTCCTTTAGTGACTATGTTGTTCAGTACTCCAGTAGTTACTAGTAAAAAAAAGATAATAAAAAAAAGGGAGATGTCAGGATGTTAAGTACGGCCCTGTCTCAATTAGTTAGGTATTGGGCGTTGGTGGCGCTGGGGAGCAAGTGTCAAAGGACGAAAATCTATATCCTATTCCTAACCCGAGTTTAAACCTAAAAATGGCAGGACATTTGAAGCCTGATGTCTAAAACGTTCCTAGATGTGCGAAAGAATTATAAGCGTTGGAAATAGGATGAGAAATATACACATAAAATCACAGGCGAAACCAAGGTAGCAATTCTTTTACACATAGTTAGTCCTGAAGTTATAGATATTTATAACACTCTAGAGTTAACTGATCATATTGAAAAGGACTGGATTAAAGTTTCGGATGCTCTATAGTTGTTTGCACCGATCATTTTAAGGGACGTTTAACGATAATCAACGTTTAAAGTGACATTTTTACATGTAAAAGTGTCCCTTTAAACGTTGATTTTTACATGTAAAAATGTCATTTAAAACTTTGATTATCATTAAACCTCGCTTAAAATGGTCGGTGCAAACGGCTATTAGAGTTATATTTTAGTCCTTAAGCAAACGAAATAGTTGTTAGACATCAATTTAAAACTAGGTGTCAGAAAGAGAGAGAAACTATAGATTCTTTTGTCACGGATTTGAAGAGATTAAGTAAAGATTGTAATTTTGCTGGTCTGATTAGAGACAGAATTATCTGTGATATCCTAGATGTTAGAGTAAAGGACAGGTTGTTGAGAGAACAGGGATTAGATTTAGAAAAATTCATAAACATTTGAAAAGCATCGGAGTTAGCGGAGATACAGACGAAATAATTGGCAAATGAAGTACAAGTAGCTGTAGTTAGAAGGAAATTTGTGGACAGAAATAATGAGCAGTTTGACGAGAGAGAAAAAACAGAGTTTCAAGGAGATTTCCGTAGAGACCAAGGGAGAGACTTTGAAAAACATTGTACATCCTGCGGGCTAGTGCATGGATTTAGATGCCCTGCTTTTAGAAAAATGTGTGCATCATGTAAGAAGTATGGTCACTTCGCAAAAATGTACAAAACAAGAAATGTACATGCGATTGAAGAATTAAGTCAAGATATTCAATGTCTAAAATTAATCTGTGGAAGGAAAATGTCAGAATGTTTATACAGTTTTACCAGGGTGAAGCAAAACTGTTTCTTAAAATGTCCATCTGATTGGTTTCAAACTTAACACGGGAGCACAAGTGTTGATAAAAATACTGCTCATAAGGTAAACGCAAAGACTGTTAATTCAACTATGAAATTGAAAAATTATAATGGTACTGTAATAAACGTGTTTGGTAAAACTAAAATAGGATGTCAATTGGACGATGGTGAAAAGGATGTAAACTTCCAGGTAATAGATTTTCACGCTCCATGTATAATTGGTCTTCCAACTATAGAAGAATTGCAGCTTCTTAAAAGAGTTGATGTAGTACAGCATGATCCAAAAACTGAATTGCTTATAGCTAAGTGTTCAAGTGTATTAGTGAGCTGGACCGTATATCATATCAAACTTCGAGAGGGAACTGTACCAGTAGTTGAACCCACTAGAAAAATTCCACTATGCATATAGGATCAAGTCAAGCAAGAGTTGGACAAAATGGAACGGTAAACATTATAAGGAAAGTGACCAAACCGACAGAGTGGGTGAGTTCGTTAGTAGTTGTAAAAAGCCTGATAACTCACTTAGATTATGCTTGGATCCTCAAAATTTAAATAGGTAAATTGTAAGTGTAGTTTTCAGTATTTTAGACGGAAAT